AGAGGGGGGAGGAAATTACTTATCCAAAGACCTGGTGGGTCCTATGGCTGAGGAGATACCTTAAAACCTTTGATAGGATTGACGAATCCAATCTTATAAGTAATATCATCTTCAAACATTTGCTGCTTATTTAAGAAAACACAGAACTTCCAAAGATAGATTCAGCTTAAAGGGGATTCTTCCATTCTGGCAAATGTTTCCAACTAGTACTTTCACTATGAGTAAGAATGGTGAGTACCACTGGCAGCTTTAAAGTCTTTCTAGAGGGTGAGATTTATCAAAAGCCTTGGGGTAGCTTTGGTTTCTGGTCTTCCAGCAAACCATGGATTAGGAGTAAAAAATCCACTGGCTAGAAAAAAACTTCCTGTCCACCTTGTTTGTTTTTTATAAAAAAAGAAACAGATCTTTACCTATCTGTAGAAGTGAGGAGAATCCACTTGACTGTCAAGAGTAGGTGACTTCAATTCCAAAAATGATTGAAGTATCTTGTGATCTTTACCATGGTCAGATAGACTTTTTCTTGTTTCCTAAGATATATTGAGTACTGTGTCTTGTATCTACCCACACAAACTTAAAAATGACTCATGATGGATCCCAGGTTCTTATAGAACTGAGGAAATGCATTCAAACATGTGAGGTGATCAATGGAAGCTTGTTTACTTCTTTTATGATATGAGCTCTATCTGTTCAATCATGTTGTAAGAAACTTTGTGCTACTCAAAATTCAGGGTTAAACTGAGGTAGGCAAAATCCCCCAGAAAAAAACCCAGAATAAGTACTATGAGAAGTAAATATGATGACAAGAGGGTGGGAAAGTTGTTTCTTATCATCCACAGACTTCTATGATATTTTTCTACAGTGTGAGATGATGGCGCATCAGTTCTTCTTCCTTTCAGAACTTTCTTGCCCTTGGTAGGAAAGGTGTTACTTGACTTTCTGGTCACTAGCAGTCAAGTTTTTGTTCAAAGAGAAGTATTAACAAGAAGAGAGGGAGGTGGTGATGACTCTTGAAGTTTTTTCAAGTTAGTTTAAGGAAAGTATTAAGATTTTATTAACATAGAAATATAAAAACTTCTTGTGAATGCCTTTTTTGTGTGATCAGAGGATCAGTGAAAAGAGTTTTTTTTTTCTTATAATTAATTTTAAGTAATATAAATAGATTTAATAATAAAATATATAAACTAAAAAAGAAAATTTTCTATTTAATAGACTAAAAAATAAAAAAGAGATAAATTGTTCTTAAAAAGTATATTAGTTAAACCAATTTTTTAGGAAGATAATAGTTTTTATTTCTTTTATCCAATAAAGCAAAGAGAAAATCAAATAGAAAAAATAAAAGCTACAAAAATAGAAAAATAATAAGAAAAGAAAATAGACTTATTTATTTATAGAAAATCAAAAAATAATATTCAAAAATAAAGGAAAGAACAAAATAAGAATAGAAAAAACAGAGAAAAATAAAGTAAACAATATAAAGAAAATCAAAAAAAGTAATTTATATAGAGTTACACAATATAAAAGTATAATGGATGTGACAAATCAATGAAACTTATTAGAAAAAATATAAAAACAGGAAATAAAAAAATTAGAATTTAATGAAACAATGTTTATGCACAATCACCAGATCTTAATCCAATTGAGTATTTATGAGATATTTTAGAAAAAGAGTTAGTAATCATGATCTCTATTCAAAAAATCTTATAGAATTAATGATTATTTTCTATTTCAGGCAAGGGATTAGGAGTAATACCTTTCTCCCCATCAGAATGGCTCTCGATAAGTAGTGAAATATCTTTTGTAGATGGCTCTGTTTATTAGTAATAGCTTGCGTCTGTTTCTGTTCCAATTTCATGATTATATCTTTAAGCTCAGTATTTTCTTCTGCGGTCTGTTCCAATTTGGCGATTCTGGGTTGAAATAAACATTCTCAGCTTCGCGTTTGATGCTCTCTTCCATAACCTGTTTTAAAAGCTCGACATTTTTGGCTTCGAGCTCAGAAATTCGTTGTTTTGGTGAATCAACCTCGGATTGCATGTTTTAGTAATAGATTTTATATATTTATTATTTATTTAAAATGTATAAAGTAACAAAGATTTCGGCGACCAATGAAAATTTTACAAATCATTTACGAAATAAAGATTTTGATTACTTAGTCGTTTCATTATTCATGAATTAATGTTTCGATATCAAATATAATTTTTACTTTTATTAACGATACATTGTAAAATCAGTTGATATCAATTTTTTGATTTAAATAGCGTATTATCTAAATCATTTAAATCGGTCTTCTCATGAACTGGTGAATCTAGATGACGCATCAAATTGCAACCCGACGAAGAGAAACCGGGAGATGGAGAACTGGGAGGTGAGGAATCGGGAGATGAGGGAAATGTTTGATTTTCTTTTTCGCTTTCCTTGGTGTATCATGCACTGGCTTTGTATGAATATGATTATTTTATTTATAGTTTTATTCATTGCTTTAATTGTTAATATCGGCCTGTGATAGCAAAAGTCAGTTGCTATTAATATTCAATAAAAATTTTATGAGTATTTGTCCTCGATCCTTGCCTGCCAACTAATCAAGTCCACCATATCTTTTACGAACTGTTCGAAATCGTCAAAGGAAACAGGTATTTAGATACGTGTGAACTGTTGAAGAATATACTGTATATCGTTGGTAAGGGATGAACTAGATACTTGATGATTATGTGACCATCTACGGAAAAAATAGTGTATTACATGAGTAATCAAACTTTCCTATACTTTGCTTTTAAATACAATACTTACTAACAGTTTGTATCAGATAAACGCGTGCTTTGTCCTTAGATACACCTTGCAATATCTTATTCAAAATCCGCATTGAATCTCGACATAGTTTGACCTGATCACCATCTTTTGTTAAAGGTGCCCTTCTACCGAATGAAAACTCAACAATGACTAGGACTTGATTTTTTTCTGTTGTTTTGACCACCTTGAAAATTCCATCAATTTTGTGTTTTTTCGTGTCAGGAGTAGTCAGCTCGATCCTAAGTGGAATAAATAAAAAATTAACAGGCAGGATTGTTAAATATTTCGAAATATATAATTGACATTTACCATCCGACATCCAATACATCTTGATGCATTCTGAACAATCTATTTAAAATGTACGCAGTGGTGTCTATTGCGTATGTTCTTCAAGGTTGAGGTTATTGGATTCAACTCTTATAGGTGCTTCCAGGCGTACGGAGCTACTCATAGAATCACGTAAAAATGTCGATGTGAAGAAGTTTGAAGAACTGGTTAATGTTAACATACAAATAAAAACATACTTATGTGTCAATATTTGCCAGGTGCTTCATGATAATAGGAGTTGAATAAGTTCTCAGGAACAAAGGACTTGCGAGTGAGAATTGGGATCTTGATCCTGTCACATACATCCTCGGTAAATTGATTGATGTATTGTGTAAATT